CTCCCGGCCTTGGCTCTCGGGGTTAAAGGCTGGGAGTCTAGGGGAGTCTTGGGGAGCATCTCAGTGGACTACCCACAGCTTTATTCCCTTAGCGTCACCCGCCCTCGGGGCGGCCGGCAATGGCACCTTTGGGTCTCTGCTGCCTCCCCGAGTGGCTGGTTTCAGCGGCTCACCCTCCGGTCGGGAGGAGTGGGAGCCGTTTGCTCCGTGTCTGTCCTAGAGCAGGAGGGAGGAATGACTAGCCGGCCACACACTTCGCGTAACCACCTCAGTCTCCCCACGCCACTTGCCAAGGGATTTTCCTGGCTGCTCACTCCCCTGCCTCCCCTAGCTCCCTCCCTCCCGCGCTCGGGCCGCCCGCCCATCCGTCTGCTGAGGGACACCCTCCCAGCAGCTGAGGGACAAGCCCCACCCTGCTGCCTCCACAGCCTCTGAATAAAGTCCAGGACCTTATCGCGCCGTCCAACCTCTCGCCCCTGCTGCTCCCTGGCCTCACCCTCCCACGCCCACCCTGCCCTCCTCGCCCGAGTCTGGCCCATGGTACCTGCACTCAGCCGCTCCCGGCCTCGGAGACCCCCACTCCCGCCCACTCCCGCCCACAGGTCCCTGCAGGGCTCCTTGCCTCCTCTCCTCTCCTCTCCCTGCTGGTCCCAGGAAGCTGCCCCCTGCGCCTCCCCCATGGCACCGCCCCCCCCCCTTGGTGTCAGCCTGGCTTTGTACAGGGGCCTTCTGTGTGCTGCTGGCACCACAAAACCCTTCACGTCGGGAATGAGAGCGGTGCGCCTGCTCAAAGCCCTCCCAGGCCCCCTCACACAGAGCACCAGTCCTCACCATGGGCCCTCCAGCCTCCTCTCTGCGTGGTGGACGCCCCCAGGCCCCTGCCTCAGGACCTTTGCACCAGCTCTTTTCTCTGCCTGGACCCAATTTCCCAGCCTCCCTTGCAGGCAGGTGGGGCCGTGTGGCTGAGTCCCTGCCAGTGGGGGGAGAGGCTCTCCACTTCCGGGGTCCACACTGGCTGGATACTAAGGACTCAGAGATGATGGGGCCACAGACGCAGAGGCCTGGACACTGCAGGGCCAGGTGGAGGCCAACACTGCCCAGGAACAGCTGTGCTGGCCTCTGGGTGAGAAACAAGTGTGGGCTGAGTTCAGCTGCTGGAACCTGGGCCTGTTTGTTACAGCAGCTTGAGAAACACGTGTGGGCTGAGCTCAGCTGCTGGAACCTGGGCCTGTTTGTTACAGCAGCTAGCTTGCACCCTTCCCTGACTGATACATGTGCACCAACCAGCACTGAGCTGCACCTGGGACAGCACTCCAAGGGGACACAGTGCCGCTCGAGGACAGGGGCCTCTCACTCCCTGCTCAGTCAGAAGACCCCTCCTCCTGGGGGTGCAGGGCAGATGGCACCAGGGCCGCCCTGTGGCCCTCTAGCGATGGATTGTGCCGTGGGAGGCAGATACGGAACGACCAAGGGACGTCCCTCCTCTCAATTCCCAAGGCCCTGCCCATAGAGCCCAGCGCCACGCCCACAGCCCCAGGCAGGAGGGAGCCGTAAGCTTGACACCCATTTTAGGGGTCTCCCATTAATTAATTAGGCACCATGAGTAACACACACCAGCGTCCGCCTCAGGTGTATTAATGGCACATCTATAGGGTGTGCCATGGGTGCTATCCGTTCTCACAAATAATTCACAACCTTCTCCTCTCTGGGCTCTGGGAGAGCCCGGCCGGGCTTCACGGGGGCTCGAGAGCTGCATCCAACGCCGACACTTACATTTCATTATAAATGGCTTTGCTGGGCATGTCGGCAACTTTTACATCTCCATCCACTTTATTATTAATGGCTTTCCTGAACGGAGGCAGCCAACGTCGCACACAACGCGTCATAAATATTTGATCCGGCATCTATAGTCTGCCATTTATCATTTATAACGGGTTACAAAAACATTATAAAACATTTACCACCCGTTTATAGATCATTTTTGGCTACCACGACGCTGTGTTATAAATGCATTATTCATCCTCACGCTGTTGCTGCAGCCCC